ATGCATGTATGTATGAGGAAGATGGATGTAAAGTAATTTCTGTAGTTTTACTGTGAACCGCCAGAAACCACGGAAATACATACACTGAAAACCAAATTTGTCTGACGGCTTGAGTTCAGTGTGTACGAGAGAGAAGTATGTATAGACACATATGTTAGAAAGAAACAGAAACTGGCTGGATAGCTAAGCTCATCACCGCATCGAAAGTATGTTCATCAATCATTTCCTTGAGTTAAGATGCCTGTTAAAACTATGAGTTAGTTTACTCTCTACGCACAAATAATGGTTTTATTTTGAGCGTACACATTTTTTAATTGTGAATTGTGTCGAATCTGTTTAGGATCGATTCCGAATCGGTCCAAACGACGCTTTATTTTAGGTCGAAATGAAAGGTCAGGATCGCCACAAATTCTGCAACGTTTCATCATTGGTTCGCTTGGCAACACCGCGCACCGTACATTCGAAGGAAAGGTTTCCACCTCCATGATCATAGAGAGAGAGCGATTTTAGTCAGTACCGATCTAGCGCTCATACTGTCGTCCTGCATCGAAATGGTTTTCACCTGCGTACACGCAGGCGGTGATAATTTGTATTACGTAATGGTATTTGTTGTAATAACTCAGGATATGTTGATTTTATCACCATCGGTGGAAATCAAAGACAATACTAAAATATATTAAAACACGAAGTCGCATCAAAATGAAATGAATAATTCTAATGAAAACAATATTAAATTTAATATTCGAACAGACCTTCTCAGGTGTTAAGTGACCTAACCTATTGTATGTTAGAAGCCTGTGCGAACATTTTCTGGTGTAACATATTGACAACGCGGCAGATTGCACGACCTTCTGCGTCACAGTCGCTAGGCAATGTGGTGATAACCTTCGCCCTTCAGCCATCTTCTATTTCTTTATAACATGTGTTGATACACACTTCTCGCGCTTGTCTCGTACACATTGAACTCAAGCCGTGAGACAAATTTTTGTTTTCCCTGTACACCCTTCATATAATCTTAAGATCCCAGGGCATGCTTAAAATCACTGACATCGTCGTTAAATGATTTGATTTGAATCCATGTTATGTATAATATTAATAATAACGACTCTATCGATATGCGTCGACCGCGTTTTTGCAGGCGTGAATTATTCCACAGCCTCTAGGTGAGGGTAGACTTTTTATAGGTTGTACTCTTGGAGTACAAACAATAACAAATGGGTTCATTCAAAAATAATATTTATGTGGCGTTCGATATTATCAATGGAACTAGCTCGATAAATCGTTATATTCTTTAGAATAAACTACGACAAGGTTATCACAGTCTGCCTTGTAAATACGGATGCACTTGATACCAGGAAATATTTTTTGTCATTGAATTGCGTTTTCTCTATCGAATAAATAGTTGTACATGAATGTCGAGCGAGTTAGCAAAATAAAATTGTACCTTAAGCTATTGCTAGCTGAAGTAGCTATTATCCGCCCACCGTTTGCTCGTTAACACGTGATAATAATAAGCTTGGCGTATTTTCGAAATAGAATCGATTCAGACTTTAGAGAGCTAACATATGCGAATTAGAAATATCTCATATGGACGTAAACTTGACTTGAATGTTCAAAAAGGCGAATTTTAACATTTACATATGCGGAATGTAAGTGCCAAAACTCTCCATTTTGCTGCCAAGATGGTGTGACACAATTTGTTCAAGCCAGCAAATTCCTGCAAGATTAATCATTTACATGTACAAAATTTTTGGTTGATACCTTTATCCGCTCCAGAGATGTAAGTTTTTCTTGATTTACAAATTGGAACCTCAACATCCCCTCTCTTTGTAGGGCAGCATTTAGTACGCATATTTATCTGTATGCCTCAGATATATTGACCCTGAAAATAATGTCTGTAAATCGAGTGATGAGACTGATTTTATTATTATTTTTTTATTCAAATATAATTACAATTTTATATTGTTTCCTTCTAAATAACTTTTTTTTGATGCCACACACACCTCATTGCAATGCTGGAACTCGGATACTGGAGTAGCCTTTAGCTGGTGGGTTACAACCGTTTGACAGTTTTTGACTGTCCCAAAATGATTTCTTGGAGGTGCTTTTTCAACTTCAGGAAGAGACGAAAGTCACAAGGTCTCAAGTCAGTCGAATAAGGAGGCTGAGGAGCCACAGGTCAAGGAGCATTATAGTGATGCAACACCCAGTTGTTCTTGATCTGATCAACGGTAGTGTGAGCCAAATGTAACTCTTCCCCTATCATTCTGACTATCAACCGACTATCTGAACGCACCAGATCCCGGATTCTGTCGATATTTTCATCGGTTTTCGAAGCTGAATGCCTTCCGCTTCGTAGTTCATCTTCAATCGACTCTCTGCTGCGGACAACCAAATGACTCGAGCGAGTTCAAACTTGTACTGAAGGTGGATCACATGTTCTCCTGTCTCCCCTCCAGGCCCGGAGACTTAGTGTTGCCAGATCGAGCGCTACGTTGCCAGTCTTATCACTTAATTTACACACCTTGTATGTGAATATATCTCAAGACATACATATTTGCATCATTGCAGTATAACTAGTAAAATTGTTAGAGCTGCAATCGTTTATTCAAAACTTACTCCCCAAACAGCCAATTCCTTAATAAAAAAGCAGGTTAAAAGATTAACCAAAGTAGGCTAAATAATGGAATCTGTCACATTTGAAACCTGGAGACGTGGGCTCGAATTCCACTCGCACCAGTTTTTTGCATTACAGTGGACCCCCGATAATCCGGCACCTGTCTAATCCGGCGCCCCCTGTAATCCGACATGTCTTTGAATATTACATACATACGTATTTGACAATCTTCGCTAATGTAGATCACCCAGGTTTGAACAGGTTACTACTTGTACGCGCCACCGCTATCGTGCTCGACGCGTAAGCATTGTTTTACTTAGTTTGCATTTGACTACTGGTGATAGTGGTACGGCCTAGCGTGCGTTCATTGTTTACTATTTATTCATTGTGTATTAAGTATATGTAGTACCTAATAGTGTCATCACAAACTCGGAAGCGAAAGCACAAAACATTGACAATTAAATAAAAATGTGATATTTTAGACCGCTGAAATCGCAATGAAACTTTCAGTAGTTTAGCAAGTGAATACGGCGTAGCCCGATCTACAATTTATGACATTAAAAGAAACCACGAGAAGATCAAGAAGTTCGTGTCAACTACTGACTGCAGGCCAGGCAAGAGACAGACACTAAAGAAAGCTGAACATCCAGAAGTGGAAGAAGCTTTGTACATGTGGTTTCTTCAGGAAAGAAATAGGCATGCACCAATTTCAGGACCCATGTTGGCCAGGAAAGTTTTTTATAAGGAAATAATAAAAAAAGATGATTTTGTGGCCAGCAAAGGATGGCTAGAACATTTTAAAAGTCGTCATGGCATACGTTTAATGACTATTTCAGGAGAGAAACTTTCTAACGATGCCACCTGCATAGAGCCCTTTAAATTAAGATTTTTGCAAAAGGTGAACGATTTAAATCTTGACGTGTCACAGGTATACAATGCAGACGAATCAGGGCTTTTTTGGCGTGTGATGCCTAACAGAACTTTCGTTTCTTGTAACGAAAAATCCGTACCTGGACGAAAAGTAAGTAAAGAGCGTGTAACCATACTACCATGTGCTAACGCTGCGGGCACACACGCGCTTAAGATGATGGTCATTGGGAAATCTAATAAACCACGGGCATTCAAAAACCTTGATTTACCTGTACACTATTACGGACAAAAAAGTGCATGGATGACAAAAGACCTTTTCAAAAAGTGGTTTGATGAATGCTTCGTACCTGAAGTTAGAAAATGGTTAAAAGATCATAATTTTCCTCAAAAAGCGTTGTTGCTTCTTGATAACGCTCCCGGTCATCCGTCTGAAGAAGAACTAACAACTGAGGATAAATGCATCACTGCGATGTTTCTTCCGCCAAATTGCTCTGCACTAATTCAAGCATTGGACCAGAATATCATTCAGTTTGTCAAGCAAGACTATAAGAAAAACCTACTTCTGAGAGCCGTATCAAAAGACCAACCAATAGAAAAAACTTAAGAATTTAATATGAAAGACTTGGTTTTTGCTCTTTGTCAGTCGTGGAATGCGTTACCGTCAACTATTAAATCGTCTTGGAAAAAGTTATGACCAGATATAGTGACCACTCTGAGCAACGTTCCACAAATCAGTGTTACTTCGGAAGTTATAGAACAAGTCGCTACTGAAATACAGATAAGTACGGAAGATTTGGAAATCTGGTGCCGTGGAATGGATAAAGAGGAAAATGTTTTTCATGAAGTTACTGACGAAGAGATTATAAAAGAGGTTTCTAATTATACAACAATCAGGAAAATAATGACGACGTGATTGCAACTGCTCCACAAGTCACAGCACAAGACGCAATTAACGCCTTTGAGCTAGGTTTACAATGGCTGAAGAGAATGGTACATCCTATAACGAACTTTTACTTTTGAGAAGACTGAGGGACAAAACTCTGATCTCGCGTTATAACAACCTTAAACAAAAAAAAATTGATGAATATTTCCAAGCTTCATAATTTGATAAATTCATTAATGATTTTGATTAATAATTCTTGATTATTTTGGTACATATGTATGTGCATTTATGCTTAATTTTATAATAAAACGTAAGCTCTCTATTGTTATTTAATTTACTAAATTCGACATACATAAACTATGTATGATTTGTACTTCAAAGTACATACATATACATAACATATACATATAATCTTACCATTGGATATGTATTTTGTCGGATTACAAGGTACTCTTTTGTAAAAAATTCCGGACTTAGGCAGTGCTCTATAATCCGACAAATTCGATAGTCCGACTCTGCCCTGCATAATGTTTGTCGGATTACCGGAGGTCCACTGTATCTTTAACGTATAGAAACATTATCATGTAGTAGTTAATCCAGTAAATATCATCTGATTCTCGTTTTTCACAGCTTCCATGCCGTACCCGTCACCAGGCCACCCAGCACATCCTACACCGTACCCTCCTGCGCCGTACCCCCCGGCAGGACCAACCCCATACCCCCCAACCAGCGGCAGTGACTATGGCCAACCCCCGCCCTATGAGATTGCTGTGTCAAACCCTCCAGTGCAACCACCTCCTGTGCGCGAGGCCTACGGCAAACAATCGCCATACAATCCAAACTATAACGGATAAATTAGAGGTTACACTGAAAGTTAGCCTTACAAATATGCGATGTTCTCTCGTGTAACCGCCTGTGAGGGAGACATAAGAGAAGAATCTTCCTAAAACTCTGACTACAAAGAATGAAAGTGGGTAGGATTGCGGTATAGTTAAGGTTACTATTATTGAAGTGTAGGTTTTACTTATTTTTGTTGGTAGTCATCAATTAAAACGAGTAGGTAACGCTATATGCTAAGCTATTTTTCACAAAAATTTTTCACGTTTTGACATTCATTGAGGTAAACAGCTGATTAGCAAGTTACATCTTTTAAGTTTGTACCATTGGCTATAATGAATCTAGTGGTAATGAGGACGTCATTACTTTTACTTGCCTGGAAACCTTACTAAGTACTTTGTGAAATAAATCACATAAAAGCGTATGCAGTACAAATAGCCATAACCAAAACGACCACAGGTTACCCTTCGATCTTGATACAACTCTGTATACAGATCACTGTATGATGTGGCATTAAATGACAGTAGATCGTCAAGTATGATATGTTATCACGTTTTGTAGTGATGAGAAATCGTGAAAAATGGTGTATACTGATGATCAGCCGGGTGGCTGATCCTATTTTTTAACCTCTCCGACGCGCCTGAAATTGTTCCAAGTTTTTTCGAATCTAGAACCTTTCGCGAAAAGTTACTTGGAAGGAACGTTGAGCACTTCAGTTTAAACAAAAAGGAACAGGCACTCGACCGATTCTTTGACCTGGGTATTTTCCAACAATGTGAAATTTCAGGACCTTGTTCAGGCCATTTCATGAAAAAAAAAGTTCATAGCATGTCTGCACTCAAGTTTTTTATACGTGGTCTTCGACTATGAAAAAGCCAGAAAGTGTTCCAATTTTTTCAGATTAACTTGGTTTGATGAAGAAAACGCGAAATGATGTACTTTTCGCAAAAGATACTCTACAAGAACGAGATTGATTTTTTCTTTGAATATTAGCAGTCAACTCTGATCTTCTGAGTCGTGTTTGTTTTCAGCACGAAGAGACAGACGAAACGATTTTCATGATAAGACATGACTATAGTGTCGCCAGTTAATCATCGTTAATATATTTCTTAAAATGTGGTTAGGAGACCTGTTATCTCATACCAGAATTGGAAATAATACCTAATAATACTTTCGAAAATATAATCAAAATAAACTAAGACTTTAACGATCTGTAGAGAAAAGTTTAAAACCTTGAGGATTTTTGTTCATGATATGAGGAGAAGGATCGAAGCATGAGGTGTTAGCACTACTCTGAGGTATTATGCAGTTTTTCTTAATATCCGTCCACACCTTCGTTTGCAATAAATAATCGCTGTTTAAGGACCGGGCTATTGATTCCAAAAACCTTTGTTTGTTAAGACTATTTTCGTTTTAATTGATGTCCAATGCACAGCAATAAGAATATTTCCTATAAACATTATACCAGTCCAGTGGGAAAGTTCATTTTTTGATTTAAGAAAAAAAATACAAACTTAATGAAAATATTTATTACTATCAACATATTCGTAAATTCGGCGGGTTTTATTTCTTAAATATCATTCCGTCCAAATGTTTGCCATCCCTTCGGACACACTCTTCTAATCGCGCGTGCAAATTCTGAAACACTATCTTGCAGAGTTCCGGATTGATTATTTCTCGTCGAATGTTGTCTTTAAGCTCTTCCAGTGTTCATAGATTATTATTTTACACTTTTGACTTTAGATAACCCCACAAAAAATTATCGCGTGGCGTGAGGTCAGGTGACCTAGTAAAAAGTGCTTTCACCGTGTCCATCGATTCTCTAGAAGTATGGGCAGTGGCCCCATCCTGTTGAAACCATGTGTTTCTGTTGAATCCACGTTCTGCTCTTACAGTAGGAACAAAAAAGTGTCAATCATGTCCTTGTATCGCTCGGAATTGACTGTCAATGCATGACCGTTTTCATCTCCAAAGAAATACGGCCCAATAATACCGCGCTAGAGGATATAGCGCACCAAACCACCTTTGGACTATGTAGGTGTTGTTTATGTTTATCTTTTGGGTTTATTGGTGCCAAATATCTGCAATTTTGCTTGTTCGCATAACCGCTTAAGTGAAAATGGGCCTCGTCACTGCAAACAACGTTCTCGAGTCTGCGCTGCGAAGGAAAAACATCCCTTCAGCACAAGATTTCCGTAATACGTAATCACGTTCCCTTAAAGCATGGACTGATTTTTTCTTCATTATGCCATGCAGTGTTGACCTAGGGATTCCCAAAGCAGCGGAACGCTTCCGTACAGAACGCCGAGGATTTGCAATGATCGAATCACTTACTCGACGCACATTTTCTTCGGTTGATACATTAGATGTGGGGCCAGGAATATGTTGACTAAGAGTAGACCACCACTCTTAAAGTAAGCCTCGATAGCAAAAGCACGTTGCGCTCCGGTCCTACGTTCCATTGTGACTATTTAACCCGCACGCCGAACGCGTCGATCAAGAACTCTCCTCACTTCCTCGCGTATTCGGTTGCCGCGTAATTCAAATTTGAAATGTGAACTTTCCCACTGGACACCCTGTATAAAAGTGATATCGTATGGTTCTGTACTATGAATGCACAGTTATATGCTTTTAAGAAACCATAGTTCAGATATACATATAACATTTCAAAAAAAAAACAAATGCTGATATATTTGACAGATCATAAACGAACAACTAGCATCACTTAAGACCTAGAAATGTCGCAACTCAGTTTATATGCGTCATGTTCGCGACTATTAGCGCCATCTCTAGGACACAGTATAGTCACAATGTGCCATGCTACGAGCCCCTTCCCAATTCAGTTGGCCCACTTCAAGATTTGTACCAAAATATGCCTTTATAAACTAAACATGACGAAACTATTTACTTCTAAAACAATTTATTTTCTCGAAAACATTTTAGATACACTCTAGTCGTAAAAAATACATATTTGAAATCACTTAGACCTATAACTAACTAATAGAACATCTGAACAAATAAACAATGTGCGAATAAATGCGCGCAGTTAACAAAGCAACAATTGAAAGATTACCATTGGGTAACATCACCTTTATTTTTTATTACGGCTGAAATTCTTTGAGGCATAGTGTTAACCAAGTTTTGGCAAAAATTTGGTGTAAAACAATCCCATATTTCTTGAAGCTTTTGTCTCAGTTTGGTGATTGTACGAGCAGGATGTTGTAGAACCTTTTGCATCTCGTGCCACAAAGTTTCAATAGGTGACAGATCTGGACTGCTAGAAACCCATTTCAAAAGTGGTACATTATTTTCTTCCATCCATTTTATAGCCTTTTTTAAGGTATGGCACGCTGCACCATCTTGCTGAAACACAAAATCTTGGCCGGATGTCAAACATTCTTCCATCACTGGTAAAAGTGATTCTTCTAAAATTGTCAAATATTTGTTTGTATCCACATTTCCATCAATAAAATGAAGTTTTCCTACTCCTTTTGATGACATACTGCCCCAGTCCATAATGGATGCTGGAAATTTCACTTTTCTCTTCAGACAGTCAACATGGAATGCTTCATTTTTTTTTGCGAATAACTCTATAACACCCTGCTACATTTTTATTATTTGTGTTTGATAAGAAAAAAACGAAGATTTCAATAGTTGGGCCAACTGAAGTGGGAAGGGGCTCGTATATCTAGCAACATCATTTTGAAAATATTTTAAATTGATTGCTTTTTACTCCTTCAGCAATGTCCTTTTCGCAAACCAACCCAAGACTTTCTTCCATTGACAGCTCAAATGATATATCTGAAAGCGTATAACTGAAAAAATAAAGACTATGAGGTGATATAATGATATATTTGTACTAAATACGCATGTATTTCTCATATATCCCCATCTTAATAACTAGATGGCTATAACTAATGTTTTATATTATGCATCAGCTGACTTTAGTTCTATGGATTTGAATACAGGATGTGATATGGATACTTAGGTGAGAGTGTGTACATATTTTTCTTTAAGGGACTGTTTTCTATTAAAATGCTTAGCTAAGTTAAATCTTAAAAAAGTGTATTTTATTACTCATTGTTTGTAAGACTGTATTATAGCAAACAATACAAATTATTGTTTCATATTGTTTTCTTTTATTTGTAGGGTCAGTTGTCCATTTTCGTCTCCCATTGTTAGAAGCGAATTATAATGAACAATATACACTGCCGGTCAAAAGTTTGAGACCACTCATAAAAAACGTTTATTAGTAAATATTTTCAAAATATTGGTGATAAAAATTAATCTGCACACCTGTATATTAGATTGTTTATAAAGATTGCCTAAAATCTTATTCTTTTGACACTAGTGTTACGTAGTCTCGTATCCCTACAGCATACTACTTGCGATAAATCAGCCTTAAAGCAGTGCTCATAAAGTAACGGTCATGTGCGTACCAGCGGCATACATGTATGGCAGCCGCACTGAAAGGGTCAATGTTTATTTTGGCCCGATATTTTCATGATTATCTACGGAAATCCGCAGTTAGTGTGATTTTGTGATTCCTACAGTCAAGATATCTCTAAAATAGAAAAAGTTTGCGAAATTAGTACTGAAATGCGATCTGCCGCAGAATAAGAAAAAACGGTTACAATGCTTCTATGGTCTGGGCTATAGGACTGGAAAAAAGAGCACTATGAAGCAATTCTTGAGAAAAATGCTATACCCTCCGGGCTCAAGTTAATCGGCAAAGGATTTATTTTCCAACAGGAGAATGATCCAAATCACAGTGCAAAATTAGGTATAGGCTATTTAGACGAGAAACAGTCGAAAAAAGTAAGCTTTTGTGAGAAGAGCTTGACCGAAACGTTCGGGAACAATGTCCTTCTTCACAACAGGTAATGTGGACTGCATTAGAAGAAAGCTGGAGGAATATCTCGCAAGAGACTATAAATAAATTAATTGCTCGCATGGCAATATTGGTAAAACAGGTCATGCTTGGAAGCAGGATATCGTCATACCTATTCCTAAAGTAGCGATTCCCACGTCTGTAACGCAACTTAGACCAGTCAGCTTACTTCCCGCATTTTCGCTTTTGGAACGGGAAATAAAGATACAAATATCTCAGTATATTTCTATTAATCAATGCACTGGATTCAGGGAAAACCATAGTACAACAACTGCTCTAGCCAATGTCACTGATGATGTTACAAGAGGCCTTGATCTAGGAAATATCACTTGTTTAGTTCTGCTGGATTACACAAAAGCTTTCGATATGATAGACCCTGAAATTCTGCTACTTAAGCTGTCTTACTATGGTTTTACTGACGCTGCAGTCAATTTGATAAGCTGCTATTTATCAAATAGAAATCAGAAGGTCCTAACAGCTTCGAAAATGTCTCAGTCAACTGCTATAAAGTTTGGTGTTCCTCAAGGTTCCATATTGGGACCTTTACTTTTCTCTCTCTATATATATCAATATTGCACCATCCATCACTATGCCGATGATACTCAAATTTATTTTAGTTTTCAACACAAAGATTTTAAAATAGAAGCATTCCTCAACGAAGACTTAACAAGACTAGTAGACGTCTCGTGCTCGCATAACCTAAAAATTACTCCATCTAAGTCTTCAGTTATAATTTTCGGCTCAAAAAACAAAAGAACATTGATCGAAACGGAAATTAACCTATGATTGCCGGCTTCCTAGAATGAATGAGTGTAAAAACCTGGGACTCTGGATTGACACAACTAAAATACAAAAAACACGTAAATTCGTTATGTAGTGCATCATACTGCATTTTGAAGCAGTTTTATCCACATAGACAAATTATATCTACTTCAGTAAAGCTGAAACTGTGTGGAACATTAATTATATCAAAGATCAGTTATTGTGACAGTATATATGGCCCCGCTCTATCATATAGTGAACAAAGCAAATTACAGCGTATTCAGAATTCGTGCGTCAGAATACGAAAGTTTGATCATATTTCTTATAAATTTAAGGAACTTGATATTCTGCAGATTAAAGGCATGCAAAAACTTAACTTATTGACACTCACACATAAGGTCTTAGCTACCAAAAAACCACCACATTTGCATAATAAGTTAACACGATGTAGTGTCATAAATCAACTGAATACAAGGAATAGAAATATGTTAGTGATACCCTTACATTCTAAGGATGTCTACAAAAAATCATTCAGCTACAACGCTATTAAATTATATAATGATGTGCCTGTTGCATTCCAAAACTATACATTATTTAATTTTAAAAATAGGCTTAAACTAAAACTACAAGTCGAGGTCTGATAATGAATACAAAATGCTGGAAATATGGACTATCCTTGTAATTGTTATGTTTTGTTTGTGTTGTTAATTATTTAGTAATTATTGAGAATTATGGATAGATTTTTATTGGTGGAATGTTTATTATATATTTTTTTTTTATCTTTCAAAGGTTAAGTTGAAAAACGCTAATCTTAGCGACACTTCGCCTTTTTTGTACTTTTACTTAGGTACGAAATAAAGCCCATTTATTATTATTATTATTATTTATAAAATGCAAAGGAGGATACTTTAGTGAAAAATCTGTATAAACTCTTTTGTGTGTTTTCTTTAGAACATTGTATTCATCAATGTAATTTTTTAGTTTTAAATCTTGTGTATAACATGTAAATAAAAACTGTTTTTCATTAAGTTTTAAATATGTTGACTTTTATCTGATTTCTTAATGTTCTCATAGTGGTCTCAAACTTTTTACCGGCACTAAACATGTAATGTAATGTACCATTTTTGTCCTTTTCCCATCTACTTTTGACAATTTCACCTCCAACCAGGCTAGTGTTTCCTAGTGTAGCAAAATTAGACATTGCTGCGTTGGGGGCAGCAGCACGTCTAAAGTTAGGTAGCCCCCCTGTTCCTTAGTCTTTTTCCAATAGCCACTTTCAGAAGCGCTGCTTTAATAAAACACCCCCTATTTCTCTCACGGTCTGCAATTTTCAATTGCCAGCAACATAGTCTTGGAGCATTTTCGATCATATCAATTCAACTAATTTTTTAGCCATCTTTCCTTCCAAAATATATTTTTCGATGGCTCCGCTCCATGGTATAAAATGGATTGCTTGTAACCTCTCGTAGGTCCTAGCGTCACATTGGAATCGTACTCGGAATCAAGGCATCCAATTTACTCAGGAATCCCATTTACTTAGGGGAAATTCATCTTAATGTTTCATTAAAACTTAGAAATTATGTATGAAGAATAATATCCGACAAATCTCCGCGTCTAGAAGCCGCGAAAACCTGAGCCCTCTTGCCATCACTTTTTGGTAGGTTTCGGGAGGAATATTTTCAATCGCTTCCGTAATATTGTTCTTCAACTGCTCTACAGTATTTGTTTTTTTTTTGATAAACCCTATTTTTATAAAATCCCTATAAAAAAAGTAAGGAGTGTTGGTGGCCAGTTGAGTCGAAAAATTAAACGTCCCGGAAATATTGTTCGCAAAAGATTCATTGTTTCCCTAGCGGCGTGACAAGTTGCTCCGTCCTGCTGGAACCACATGCTTTGCAGGTTAAATTGACGATTTGAGGAGCCAGAACGTTTTGCAACATATCACGGTAGCGCTCGCCATTGACAGTAAGAGAATTACCTATAGTGTCTTGAAGGATGTCAGGTTCAATGGCACCTCTATACCAAACACCGCACCAAACTGTGACTCGACAAGGATGTAGTGGTCGTTGATGGATGACACGAGGGTTCTCTAATATATCAACAAATCCGTTCATATCGAAGTGGGCTTCATCGCTCATTATCAGTTGTCGGTAAAGATCGCTATTTTGGCCACAAAAATACGTCTTATAACTAATATAAATAGTCATGGCTTTACTTTATTGCCCTATAGGTAGCATACAAAATTCAGGGTTGTAAAATAATTAAAGTGGTATAAAAGCGGTATTCGATCCAAATAATATGGTGTCTATCATTATTGCAAAATTTTATTTCCTTGCGTTTATTCACAAACATGTTACCTTTCAACTATAAATATACAACATGACACTAAGGTAAATACTCGTAATTCATCATGATAATAATTTTTGTTTTAAAAATAGCAAATGGAGAAACTGACGTGTCACTCGTTTCGTAGTGACAATCTACATATAACTGTAATGCTAAAGCTTACGCAATCTTTATGAAAGTTTTTTTATGTAGTTATTGTATATTCAACATCTCAATGTTATTGTTAATGTACGAATATAGATAATTAGCTTCATTAAAATCACGCTAGGGATATAGCAATTATTGGAGTAGATTTTGTACTTTATATATATAATAAGTAATCAAGTTAATAGAATAAAAAAGTCAAGTTCCCAATCCCCCATTCCTTTCAAGTATTACTCTAGAGCGAGAGTAGTTTTCTTCTGATACAATTTCCTCAACGAATGGAAAACAAGTTCTCAACTCATTCTCTGAGGTAGCATTTTTTATATAAAGTTGGGGTTATATGGCGGAGGCTGTTGGTACTCTTCCGGCGATCTGTGGCATATTGCTCCATATATGTTGAGGATTTCTAGATCTTTGACTATCACGTAATCACTCTTGACTTCGACACCACTTGCTGAAAAATCTGGAAACAAAAAAATTATAGTATCCGGACATCTACGTAAACTACAAATTTTGCTTTTGGGTGGCTTGCTATCGCCCGTGGGATCATCAAATTGTCATCGGATTAGGAAATTTATGCACCCCAGTTACTCGGGAAACGCATTAGAATATTTTTTTTTATATCGAAGCAACCGCACAGGCAGAAGCCTAAATGCCGGAACACCGCGGCTGCTATGATGATCCCAAAGAAATTTTGTTAATACGATTTTTGATCTGCTTAAGGTTAGTAGATCTGGGAAAAGCTTCCTCTTGTAGATTGTTCCACAACCTCGACACTCTCGGGACAAAGGAGCGGTCGCATCGGCCAGTTCCGGATGTACGAAGTTCGACACGGTTGGGATGGGACGCCAAAGTCAGGCGGGTCTATCTGGCAGGCACATCGCGCGGCGGCATGATTCAAGAGAGCTCTGAGGAGCAAAGCCCGTTGGTGTAGCGGTAGAAAAGAGCTAGATCGCCGACGGCCCGCCGGTGCGAAAGGGTCCCGAGACTGTTACAGAAGAGTCATCGATCAGTCGGACCGCCCTCCTCTGGACATCATCGAGCATGGATAATGTAGTCGGGGCGGCAGCACCACAAACGTGTGAGGAATACTCGAGGCTAGGCCTCATCTGGGCCTTGTATAGAGTGAGAAGGTCATGCGGAGAAAAGTACTTCTTAGCCCTAAACAAATAGCCTAGCTTTTTACCAGTAGCTGCAGCTATTGAGATGTGTTCGTGCCAGATCAGGTCCTCGGCGATCTGGACTCCGACCAGCCGAAATGAATGGCTCTTTGGCAGAACTCGGAGATCCATCGAAACCGGATGAGCGCTAGGACGCTTTTTGTTCGTCAAAGTACAGTACTGTGTTTTGGAAGCATTGAACTGTACAAGATTGTTGCGTCCCCAAGCAGTGATAGCCTCCAGGCCTCAAGTCAGAGAGGAAGTCGTCGCTAGTCTTCTTTTTTCCAGCTCAGCGGCAGAGATCGGCTTGTCACTCTGAATTCCTGCATGTAGAGTGCTGTGATCAACGAAGCTGTGGAATGGGTTGATGGTGCAGGAAATGAGGTCGTTGATATCTAAGAGAAACAGTGTCGGAGCCAAGACCGATCGCTGGGGAACACCCGCGTTGACGTTGTGGGATGAAGAGGAGAACCCGTGAATTACGACGGATATCTTGCGGCCAGAGATAAAGTCAGCCACCCATCTTCAAAGCTTTTCTGGGAAGCCATAGGAAGGAAGTTTGCTCAAGACGGCAGCGTGCCGCAGCTGATCGAACGCTTTCGTGAGCAACAACATGAGCCTCACCATAAGACTGGATGAGTTTACTCCACAATTGCGTGACGTAAGCTAAGAGGTCTCCTGTGGATCGTTGGTGCCGGAAACCATACTGCCTCTCGCTAATCAAGCTGTGACGTGCGAGGTAGTCCAGAAGCTCGCAATTTAGGCACCTCTCCATCACCTTATAACAGAAAGCATAGCTATAGGCCTGTAGTTGTAATGGTCGGTCTTAGATCCTTTCTTTTTTGGATGGGTTGGACATGAGCAAATTTCTAGTTTTCTGGGAAGGTGCTGGATTCATAGGATATCTGGAAGAGACGCCAAAGAACTGGAGCAAGCTCCGCTGCACACCTCTTCAGTACAATGGCAGGAATCAAGTCCGGACCAGAAGCTTTGTTGATCTCGAGCGACAAGAGCACTCATCTTACGGTCTTGTGCCTGAATGTTATCTCCCGCATAGTGAAGGGAACCCTTTGGATTGACGGCACTTGGGCGTTGGAGGGACGTCCATGGTGGAGTAGGCAGCAAAGAGCTTGGCTGGCACTTCCGCCTTGGCATTTGAGTCGAATACAATAGTGCCATCCTGGCACGTAAGTGGTGGAAGGCTACTGTGTGAGAAGTTCTTTTCAATCTGCTTGGCCAGCGTCCAGAAAGACCGACTGCCATTGCGCTGCGACATTACCCTGTGCCTAGCTTTTATCTCGTGCTGGTTTTTGGCATTGCGAACCGCTTCGTTTTATTTTTGTTTCTGGACTCGACGTCGGCTTGTCTGTTCTCTACAGTTTGGTTTTGTAAGAAGGTTCTGTGTGCCTTGTTCTTCTGCTGGCTAGCAATGTCACACGATGTGTTAAACCAGCCGTTGGACCTTGGTTTAGGCACTTTCACTGTGTGAGGGATGTATTCCTCAATTCCGACGTGGATAATTTCGGTTATCGAAGAACAGGCAGCCGACGCATCCGCGTCAGTGCAACAGACATCTCTCCAAGGAAAGTTAGAGAAGAAGTCTCTGAGCCCCTCCCAGTCGGCATGTCCGTAATGCCAATTTTTGCAGCCTGTACAACACCGTGGTCTGAGTTACCTATGGGGGACAGGACAGCAGTGCTGTAAGGGACAGGGTGCGTGGTCAGCAAGAGATCCAGCAGGCTACTGGCGTGTGACGAGACGCAGGGGAAAAAAGTAGGTCACCAGCTGGGTCAGCCCTTGAGCAAGAGCGAAAACTTCGACTGCACTACCTGCTGCATCGGACTTGTTTGAGCCTAACCAAAACTCATTATGGGCATTGAAATTACCGACAAGAACTACCTCTGAAGCGGGGTGATTGATGTTCAGGAAGTCGATCTTGACGGCGAGGTATTCGAGTACCTTATCACAGTTATGGTCCGAGGGAGAGCGATAAAGGCAGCAAATAAATTTGGGTGGTGTTTTGGAGTTGAGGCGAACAGAATGTCCTTCCGGTCTGATTTCAAAGAAACATCTCTGGAGCAGGAAAGACTGCTGCGGACAAAAGCCACAACTCCCCCGTTCTTTCTCAGATTGGAGTGCACCTCGTAGTTTGGGAAGTTAAGATGGTTAATCAATCCTGACTCTGAGATTTTTGTCTCCGCCAAGAAAAGCACGGTGGGGCGATTGGATTTCAGGTAGTGATGAACAGCATCAATGTTGCTGTTAATTCCGCAGATGGATCATTCGGGACCACCAACGAATACAGATTGGGTAGAAGGAGCCAGTCAAGGATTTATCTCCTTATTTTCATAGTGAGAATCAAAGTGCACTTGACATAAGTCAATTTTTATAGTTCCCTCATTAAATCCGTAGTTTTAGTGTTATTTTATACAAGTGCGGGTGTTTGAAGATAATTGTGGTGTTAGACGATTCCAAGACGTGATACTTCACACATAAATTGCAAAGAGCAGTAGAAGCCTAATGAAGCTAGATATTTTCACTGGTAAGTATTGATACAACGTTCTTAGTTTGGTAGACAAGTGAGTCAAAAGTAGGCAGCAAAACTACGTCATTTTGGCGACAAACAATCCAATTTGTTTGGATCCATAGTTACTTCGTGTACTTATTAAGTCACAATTGTCTCAGATTTAAATTTCTTAAATCTTCTAAACATACCTAATATGACACTATGATTATGCTATTTTGAAGGCTACCTTCTTTTTCTACTGTATAGGCCGGAAGAAGCATCATCAAAAGGATTAGCATTTAAAAAAAAATCGTAGTTATTCATTTTCCTATGATTGATTTTTTGACTGATATTGCAGGAACATTCCAAGGCGATCTACATCATAACTGGAAAAGCAATTGAAAAATGTGCAATGTGCATATCTTATCACCTAGGTGCATGCCGATAATCATTTCCCTGTGAATCCCACAAAACAATAACTAAGCGACATATCAATTATATAGTAATCAATATTTGTGTAAATGCTATTGCAGTTTCATTTTACCTCCCGCGCCTACTGGCGGGGAAGTATTGTATTCACGAAAATTTTCAAAAGTGAGATGTCTTTCTTGGATGTTATATGAAATGTACATTATGAAAAATAATGTTTCTCATTTCGGTCGGTATATCTGTCTGACTGTCCGCTAATCTTATAACCTATAACTGGAGAAGTGGCGCTCGGATTTTGATGAAATTTTTACACAATGTTACTATGCTAAGAGAGAAAAACGAAAAGAGTAAGAATCGCTCAAAGTTTATCTGGCCTCGAAGTGAAACCACATATATTGGGCGAGTTTTTAGTGTTAGGCATGGTATCTGAAAATGAAATACAAAAATTGTAGTCAACAGTATGCTGCTAATTAGAAAAATATTTTTATCCCTATAGAGAGATTCATAACTACATTGTGACCCAAAGATACATTTTTGAATGGAAAGACCTACATTTTATTGCAGATTTGGATAAGCCACAAAGCAATCAGATATAACATAGGTACTCTAGGGTTTTTGTTTTCAAATTGTTGAGATACTAAATAATCTATCGAAAAAACTCAACTTTAACAACTCGTATCTCCACAAATAGCTAGAGTATCGAATTTTTCTCCAGAAAACTATTATGATCAACCATTTTCTACCTAGCTGCTTACCTTTCAGGTTCTTTAACAGTTATACAAGGTGGCCAAGAATGCGAAATGAACTGTTTCACAGAATTTTAAAATGGAGCACCCTGTATATTTTCACATTCTTTGATTCCCCTTTTCACAAGCTTTTTTCCGATATATGATTTATAAGGGTGCGTATGAATGGTTCTAAAAATACAGGGACACCTTCTTGACTTTTCGGCTTTAACATTAACACATAAGGATACGTAGACAATGTATAATGAAAATACCACATTTTCAATAATCTACCGTTATCAGCTAAATGCTATTTTATAAATGCAATGCAATATTTCCAATTTTCCTTGACATCCGATTTGTAAAAAGGTTAGCTGTAGCTCGAAAACCGGTCTAACAAACCCCAAAAATGAAATAGAAGTCAAAGGATATGAAAATATACAGGGTGATCCATTTAAAAATTCTGAGAAATGTCCATTTTGTTTTCTTGACTACCCTGTATAAACAACAAAATAAACTGAAAAGTAGATATGGAAAAAATATAGTATCATGAAACTTTTCTGTCAACGAATTTAGTACTCTAGCTATAACAGTTAAGAAGATGAGAGTTGTCAAAGCTGTAAAGTAAAACGCTATATTATGTAATATCAAACTGCTTCATTTGAAAGGACTCGTTCAAATCTGGAATAAAATGCAATCCATTTAAAAAATATATGCTTGGGCCACCTCGTAGTTATGAAGCGCCCCATAGCGATGAAAATATTTTCCATATAAGGAGCATACTGTTAGCAAATTTTCTAGATACCATGCCTATTATAATTACGCAGTTATCAGCTGAGCCGATACTAAAAATTCGCCCTAATGTTTGAAATACTAAATCCTTTCATTTTGCTTCAAATATGTGATTGCACTTAGCGGCTGGAAAAAAAATGAGGATTATCAGCATGAATACTATACTAAGTGACATATAAATCCGAACACCCAGTTTAAATGGTTTTATTTTAATAAAATTTTGTATAAGTACTTAATGAAGCATAATAAGTAAATGATAAAAATTTCAAAATGCAATTGCACTGCTTTAAAGCCCTTTTACCTTTAATAATGTGTGGATGCACCCTGATGCTTCTGATCAGGTGGTCAATGTCCTCCTATGGTATCTCATTCCAGGCAACCACCAACTCCTCTCGAAGTGCTTCTAGAGTCTGAGGAGGACGTTGCAAATTGAGCAATCTCCTACCCATCATATCCCACACGTGCTCAATTGGGGATAAGTCGGGAGATCTTGGTGGCCATGGTAACAATGGGACATCATTATGTTGAAAGAAGTCTATTGTGACTCTTGCAACATGTGGTCGGGCATTATCTTGTTGGAAAGTTGGATCTGCCAGGGTGTCAAGATAGGGTAAAAGATGGGGTTCTAGAACTTCGTGGATATAACGCTGCACGTTCATGTTACCTCTGATGAAGATTAAAGGTGACCTGGAACCATAAGCTATAGCACCCCAAACCATAACTCCAACAGTGTGATGAACATGTCTTTCAACAAAAAACTGTGGATTCCTCCTTTCACCACGTCGCCTTCTAACCCTGGCACGACCATCGTGCATGCCTAAACAAAATCGAGACTCGTCACTGAAGACAATACTGTTCCATTCCTGATCCCAGAGTGACCGTTGTCTGCACCACTCAAGGCGATTACGTCGGTGTTCTCGAGTTAAAGGGAGGACCCAGTGTGGCCTATATGAAAAGAAGCCAAAACTTCTCATTCGTCGGTAAACACTTCGCATGCCAATAGGTCTTCCGTGTTCTGCAAACCATTCATTTGCAATGGACCTGGTAGTGGAGAAACGGTCCCTTAAGGCCAATAATCTTAGGCGGCGATCTTCACGGTCTGTTGTTCTACGGCGGCGTCCAGTGCCCCTTGCTCTTTGCGTACGGCCTTCTCGAAGCCATGCCTGACAACACCTAACCACAGTGTCTACACTTCTTTGCACTCTAACTGCAATTGCCCGAAAAGAAAGTCCAGCTTCCCGAAGTCCCACTATACGGCCCCTATCAAACTCACTAAGTTGACGAAATCGTACAGGCCTCCGTACTCTAGGCATCGTAACCGATCGTAAAGGATGTCAAGAACCAAAATCCGCCAACGTTGATTCTTTACTGCGGCTGAAATATTCATTTTTAGAGTGTTAGTGAATTAAAAAAAAAGCAGTATAAAAACCGGAATGTCCAACTCATAAGGCTGAAAATTTTTTCACTTGTTATTTACAGTAAGATAAATACATTCACCAACTTTTATTTTTATTAAACTGGGTGTTCGGATTTATATGTCACTTAGTATACATAAGTTTCAGATCTTACATTGAAAACTTTTGTCATAGACAGAAACTCAATTATATGGTTGCCAAAAAATTAATATTTATGTATCTAGGACGGTGAGCGAGAGGTTATGGCTTGCGGTGTGAGGCTACTTTTCAACTTTAGAACTGAATGAGCCGATTTTAAAATATTAGCACTTCAGAATGCCAAAAAAATCGGTTGCTCCAAGAGTGTCACAGTCTATTCAAAATGCATGGTAAAATGTTCCTGTTATGTTTTAAGTCTACCTACCGAAGTTTGGAGGCAAAGCGCTAAAGGGTACCAAATAAACGCTATTTTGAGTGGTATAAACTGGTGGTTCGATTTGCAAGGCATGGCTTGGTTGTGGTTTGTGCCCTAAAAAATACAATTCTAAATACTAATAACAAATAATAAATAAATAAAATTGGATTGACAATTTTGAGGCTATTAAGTAATGTCTAGAATTGATGAAACGGCTAAAGACCCATCAGTCATAGGATATCAACGGCTAAAATATTTCGCTCTCCTGATCAAACATCCTGTATAGGTATATTTTTTACATACTCGTATACATTTTAAAAAGTATGTCAAATGGGAAGAGTAGCTTGTATGGGGTTGTCCAAAACGGACGCAGGAAAGTAAACGCATATTAAAACAAGAAAGATTGATATTCAAATCAAGTTGGGTACTTTATTTTGAAGGTTCATTTATACCATTTATGTATGAAAAATAATATCGCTCAAATGTTCACCACCACTGGATTTACAGACGTCCACGCGATGGTCGAAATTTTCAATGACATTTTGCAACATGGTCGGTTCTATGGCATTTATCTCGGCAATGATGTTGTTTTTGAGTTCTTGGAGGGTGGCTGGTTTGTTGACGTAGACTTTGCTTTTCAAATATCCCCATAAAAAGAAGTCCAAGGGAGTCAAATCGCACGATCTTGGTGGCCATGGCACATTTCCTCTGCGCGAAATCACGCGATCACCGAAGAAGGACTGCAATCGATGGATATTGACGTTGGTTGTGTGGCATGTTGCACCGTCTTGTTGGAAATAAATATCGTTCATATCCATTCCTTCAAGTTGTGGCAAAAAATAGTCCTCTATCCTACCACGTGATATCGCTCAGAATTGACGGTAACGGCGTCCCCGGCCGCATTTTCGAAAAGGTAAGGTCCGATGATGCCGTTTGACCATAATGCACACCACACAGTCACTTTTTGAGGATGCATCGGCTGCTCTTGATACTCACGGGGATTTTCTTTCGCCCAGATGCGGCAGTTTTGCTTGTTTACCGTCCCATTCAAAGTGAAATGCGCTTCGTCGCTGAACATGATTTTTGATGAAAAATTGGCATCAATTTGGCGGTGTTCAAGGAGCCAATCTGAGAACGTTCGGCGCGAAAAATGGTCGGCCCGACGCAGCTCTTGCGTCAATTGGATCTTATAGGCGTATACGTTCAAATCCTTGTGGAGAATGCGCAGCAAACTGGTTCTCGAAATGCCCAATTCTTGGGATCGACGCGTTGTTGATTGTTTCGGATCGTCTCTCACACTCTCCTTCACAACAGCAATATTTTCCGGTGTGCGAACGCTCCTTGGCCGGCCAGAGCCAGGCAGATTTGCCACAGCTTCTGTTGCCTCGAATTTACGCGCCAGACGACCGATGGTTGTTTCGTTTGGGCGGTTGTTGCGACCGAAATGTTCACGAAGCGCGCGAAACGCGTTTTTTATTTATGCACCATTTTTGTAGTGCTCTTGAATAACTATAATGCGGTCTTCAATCGAATACGACTCCATAGCGATCAATGGTAAACATTCAACTAACAAAATGACATGTCGGTGACAGAAAACAAAGATGTATCTATGTCAAATTGACGTTTACTTTCCTGCGGCCCTATTGGACAACCCTTTATATAAATGGCCCAAATGGCAGCATAAACATTAAAAAATTACGTAAGGCAGAGTTCAAGAATATTAAAAAGATTGATCTCCCAAATAACATATTTTTGAATTTTTCAGATTTCAGATTCCAGCAGACATATCGCCAAGAATATCCATTTTGGTATATACTTACGCTTACGTTGTTTTCTTTTGACTTTGCTTGATGATTTGTAACGTCTTCGTACCAAACCTGTAGTAACGAGATCAATAGATGTCATTAATTTCTACTATTCATATACTGAGTGACAAAAAAAGGTAAACACCTACGAATTATCCGATCTTAATAATTTTTGGCATATATGTTCAGCGTCCCTTACTAGTAAATTGATGAACTTTTTAGCTTGATTCGTCAAAAATTCTTGAATTCTTTACCTTTTTTTGTCACTCAGTATATTTCATGAATTAACAAGAGCTTTACGAAGGTATACCAACGAAAGGATATCCACGTAATATGAAAATAATATTTGAAAATGCATATTCATAAAATCTAATCCATTTTCAGATAAGCATATTTATGCATACGTCACTATCGATTTTTCCTGCACTTTTCATGATGGGGTCTTTATTTGTCAGACACAAAACAATGCAAAAAAAGATAGGTATCTTTCTAATGTACAAAAACAAACATACTTGTGATTGTCACCAAATTTTGGCGCATAAACATCACATTCGTTCTGGATTACTGTAGCAATCTACTTACATTTCCTGATCAGATATATCGTAATGATTATGAATCCCACGATTCCCAGCACAATTTCCAAAAAATGGTGCCATTCAAGCTTTTTTCCCTCTTTATGACTGTGGACCGCAATTTTGCGCTGAAGTGGATCGTCTGGCCGTATATACACCATCTTTCGTAAACCGAACAATATACTATTTTCACAGATTGCCTGTTATCATCGGCAATAATTACGATGACATTTGATAAGATTGTCGAGCACCAAACTAGGTAATGGCTGAGATTTGCTTCATACACAGAAGCCCAAAACAATTATGGTTTTCCGTAAAAGATCGAAGATTAGATAGCAGGGTCATTTCTCTTGAAAGCGGAGAGTAGCATGAGCAGTAGAAAGTGTGCCATTATCTTTCTGACAGCTTATAACGTCCGTTTTGACGTTAATCAAATTAAAAATAAGTTTCACAAAATGCGAAGTAATATTTTCATATTATATTGTTCATATCATTGAATGTTCCATCGAAAAGTTAACTTCATCTTAAAGATGAGGTTGATGGATAACGGCGCACTTTTCTTGTCAGTTGGCCGGCTCTTCCAAGGGCGTACCCAGCTCAAAGCGAAGGGGGGGGGGCACTTTCAAAAAATGTTTGATGGAAGTTCCACAAATCATATAACTCTGCTTGATATTTTTCTTTCTATTTGCATTTCTTAGATATACAGTCTTCCACGACGATTTGTTACTTCATATGAATATGGAAAACTAATAGGATTACTTTTTTGAAACATTAAAGCAAGTTTGTTGCAAAAGAAATTGTACAGAGCGATTTATATATTGCTTAGAGTGGCCTCTCTTATTATCAAACTCTAAAGTTACAAGTCCATAGAAGAATTGGGAAAGGGATGAAAATTCCTTCAAAATGGCTATTGCAACAGTTAATTGTTTATTGTCAAAAAATCCTTCTTTTTTGCCCAAAAGTGCATAAGAATAATAAATATGAAATAGTTCCCAAAAGTTAATTGCTTTGTAGTGATTAACAAAGAAAAAAAATTTCAAAATGCTAATATCCAGCGAAGTAACTGCTGCAACAAATTAGACATTCAGAGTGGGTTTTTAGTTATCTAATATGTATATCCATCACTATTGAAACAATCAAAAATGTTATTTACAACGATTGTGAACTATACGCTCCCTATACGGTAATTCCTACCGACATAACAACAAAAATGATTTTTTTAGATGAAATACCGTACATATTTTAGTATGTTCTAATATGCCTCCTTAAAGGGAAACATTTTGGTATAGCCGAGGATATAGCACCGGAAATAATTTCTCTTTGTCAATATTTATTCGTTGTTTTTCTACAACAAAATGAAATTTTATCATATATGCGTACCGAAACGGTAAGACATAGGGTCAGTTGAATGGTGGCAAAGCTGCGTATATATATATATATTTGGAAAATGAATTTGAAAAGTTTTGACAATTCCAGTATTTTCAGAGAAAAAGGAACGAATTTTCCCATAATCGTTTCTAATTTCTTCTAAACTTATTTGAGATAGAATTTCAAAATAAAGTTCACATTGACATTGCCACTTTTTGATCTCTGCAAGGTGGCATAAATAATAATAATAAAGTGTCTTTATTGGCAACCTTCCATATTATGGCGAAGTTTAGCTTGATTGCTACTCTTCCACTTAACCATAATATGAACAAAACATCAAAAATTTATACAAGGAACATAATACATAGAATATAAACAATTACAGAACAATGACGAGAATATACCATTTGCTAGCCAAGCATGCCAGAAAGCAAATATCGACATGAACATTAGAAGTCAACCAAATTGAAAATATTCATTTAACAAAATCCCAAAAATAAAAATAAAATAGATTAACAACTCAAACATTGAGAGATGATTGTATCTCTAATAGCTGTTTTCTAACTGATTTTTTTAAAGAGAGTAAACTTTCTTGTTTGTTAGCCGCACTGACTGAATTGTAAAGCTGAACGGCATTATACGTGAAAGACCTCTGATATAATGAGGTGTAGTGAAGAGGAATATTGAACTGTTCATCATGACGTAACCTTCTTGAAATTAAATTCCTACGCGGAACTAACTTATTTGCAAGGTTAATAGGTCTCTTGGTAACGACTGTTTTATGTACAAAAACCAACATATGAAACTTGAAAACATTATTGAGCTTCAGCCACCCCAGCTCACAGATCTTGGATGTAACATGGCTGTACCTACGAAGGCCGAAGACAAAACGACAACAACAATTTTGAATTTTCTGCAATCTGGTTTTTGTTATGGAGTCAAGACAAAGATAAAATAGTATAAAACAGTAAAGCAGCTTAGACATAACTAAACTTTCCACCAATTTCTTTCTAGTCTTGAAATTGAGAATAGAACGATTGGAGTATAGGAGTCTTAGGCTTGCATATGTAGCTTTAGATATATTACTGACGTGGTGATGAAATCTAAGATTTACGTCTAAAGTAACACCTAGACTTTTTGCATGCGTGACGAGTGGAATATGGACATTATTTACCCTCAAATCAATCATCCTTTCAAAATGCTCATAGTTGGTTTTGGGACAGAATAACATTGCAAAACTCTTGGTAGGATTGAGCTTCAAACAGTTAGCCTTGCAATAGTCAGTTATATTTACCAGATCTAAATTTATTTTATACGAGGCTTGATCCACATTAGTAGAGTCAAAAGTGAAGGTCAATTGTGTATCGCCTGCGTAAGTATGAATACTACAAAACTGTAATACAGTATGCAAGTCAAAAGTATAAATTAAATATAGTAAAGTACCAAGCACGGAACCCTGAGGAACACCAGAAGCAACATCGGCACTAAGAGAAACTCCTTGGCTTGTTCTTACTCGTTGCTTGCGATTATTTAAGTATGATTTAAAAAAGCAAAGAGGAACGTCAGATAGTCCGTAGTATTTTAATTTGGATAGAAGCATTTCGTGGTTAACCGTATCAAATGCCTTTGGGAAATCTAACAACACCAGCACAGTGTAAATATGATTGTCTAAGTTAGAGATAATCTCATCAGTTACGTGTAATAATGCAGATGTTGTGCTGTGACCACTACGGAAACCAGACTGATAATTTGGAAATATATTGTACTCTTCAAAATATTTTACCAATTCCATATAAACAATTTTTTCCAATATCTTTGACAAGGCACACAATATACTAATGGGTCTCAAATCCGAATATTCTGTAGGATTATTATTCTTAGCCAGAGAAGTTATAACAGCCTTTTTCCACAAACTTGGAAATACTCCTTTTTCTAAACAAAAAATGACGATATGTGTTAGATGAGGTAACACTTCAGGAATACACAAATTGATCATTCCTATGTTAATTCCATCACAACCAGTTGCTTGAGATTTGATGGAAATTATAATATATAAAACATCTTCTGGGGTAACTAAATGAAAGTGAAAGAGCGGAATGTCTGAATTAAAATAACTTGAATTATATTCATCTACCGTACGATTTATAAGACGGGAATTAACATTGTGGGATACAAAATTTGATAAAAAATAATTGTTAACTTCGTCAGGATTGAGCAAGTGTGGGGGAATTTCTGTCTTATTTTTTTGGTAAGCTCCAAAATTTCTTAAGTGGTTCCAAAATTTTTTAAGGTTTGACTTTTCGATATGAGCTAAATATGCTTTTTTCTCTCTTTTAAGTGCAGCAAGTGCGTGATTACGCAAAATTCTGTAGTTGTTCCAATTTTCTTCAGTTGAATCATGTCGAAATTTGAGTAAAGCTTCATCTCTTTCCTTGAAAATACGTTTCAAGGTTGGGGTTAACCAAGGCGATGCATTTTTCGTTATATGCGCTTTACGAATAGGTGCATGTGTATCGAAAAGAGCAATGAAACTTTCAGTGAAAAATAAAACCTTTTGATCGATATCATTAATATAAAAAATTTCATCCAATACATTAAGTGTTAAGTGTGCTTTGAACAAGACCATATCAATATTTTTCAGGTCCCTATATTCAATAAATTTTGGTGCATTTCTAGGAGCAGGCATTGCTAATTCACAAAAAACTAATCTGTGATCGGATAATTGATCTGCTGCTAATGTCCCAGAGTTTAAAATAATATTTACATCATTCACAAAAATGGGATCTATCAATGCGGAACTGAACTGCGTAATTCTAGTGGGTTCGGTAATAATCTGAGCATAATTATATGAATCAAAACATCTATTTAGAAGGTTCTCATGATTGAATAGATCAATATTTACATCACCCAAGAAAATAATATTGTCATACAACGGAGTAAAAAAAGATAACAAATTGTCAAAATTATGTATGGCATCATTTAAATTCAAGTGAGGAGGGCGATAGGCAACCACGACCAAAAATGCAATGTTGTGAAGTTTGAACTTGCAGCATAAAATTTCCACAGAGCTATTCATAGCAACATCAATCTCTACTATTGAACAATTTAGGTTACGCTTCGCATATAGCCCAACACCACCTCCTCTGCTCACCCGATCCTTCCGTAAAAAATCATACCCTCCAATTAGGTATACCGTCGTTTAGCCATGTTTCAGTCACTGCAGCGACATCAAAGTGATCTTTAATCATGTGTGTAAAATCATGGAAACCAGCTACTAGAGATCGTACATTTAAATGACAAATTTTCAATGAAATCGAATTAGCCATAGTTCACTTTTTGTCTGAGGTTGTCCATATAGTATTGGCGAGCTGCACATCCTCCGAAGTTTGAAGAGTGGTCCGTTGGTAGATTCTTCTTGTTAGTTTTGTTATAATTCATACAGTTAATACACTGAAAGACATTAGATTTACATTCCTTCAGAGAATGTTTTCTGGTACACCTGGGGCAAGTGAGCTCAGACTTGCATGTTTTATCAGTATGTGAATACCCACTGCACTTTGAACAACGGATTACACGTAAGTGATCATAAATTGGTGACTTCTTCCATCCAACAAACAAACTCTCTTTCTCCAGCAAAACTTTACGTAGTGAAGGGGTTATTTCAATTATGATGTGAGACGCATTTCCATATTTCAGCTTAGTTACAAATTTTATATCCTTATTTTCTGTGTCAGTAAAGCTATTCAATGAAGTGATACTAGAAATGATATCTTCGGGTGTGTTCAGTCCGTTTAAATTTACGTTTTTAACAAGGAACCTGGGATTCAATTTCTTTGCTTCATTGATAGCATAGTTTTCACCAAATTTGCTGGAAAGAGTGTTTTTAAGAGTGGCAAGTGAGCTATCATCATGACAGAAAACTGCAACTCCATTCTTGATTACACGGGTTGTATTAATGCGGACGTTTAAATTACCAGGATTAATCGATGACGACACTTCATCCATAATACGATTTGAATTAGCAACTTCAGAAGATTTGAGAATTTGGACGGAAAAATCATTCTTGACTGGTTTTTTCAGCACATCACTGTATTTACTAGCTCCCGGTTGGGAAGGATACGTGGGAACAACGTTGCCTGCTTGTGAGCTAGAAGTGGAAGGAAGTCCCAACTTCCTTTCATTAGACTCCAACAAAGACGTCTGTAATGTTACCGTGTACTCTAGGTCCTCCAGCCGTTTATGTGCCGAGTTCAGTTCGCGGTTTAGACACTCTACCTCTTTTTGTAATACCACAACTTTCGCATTATATGACTTATTGGAAGGGAATGATTTACATTCATCACATAACCATAGCAAATTGTTGCATTCTAAAAGAATTTTCATCCAATTAACTTTAATCGAAACACACGACGGATGACATTTTAGGTTGCATGTACCACATTTAATAGATTTGGTGGAAACAATAAAGTTATCATTGCAGACCTCGCAGACGTCTACATCAGGTGCCATGATGAAATCATGGACCTAATCTACTGGACTATCCACAAGAATCGTAAATACCTACAAACAATATTTTTGCTTCTCACAAATATTCAACCATAAGCAAAAAAGAAAATAACACGCGATTATGAACTCTATTGAACGTACGAATAAAGAGAAACGCTACTAAAATACAAAATATTCAGTATGCATTCAAACCTTCGGGTATACAAGTTGCACTGCACATTAGAGACACATTTGCATCACTTGATGAATTTTCGCGGATGATTCTACCTATAAAAATAACTATTCAGTGCCCCGCCGGTTCACTGTTCACATTTCAGACGACGAAACGTAAAAAAATAGAACATGAATATGATTATTCATCTCGTATCCCCCCTCTCAACTTTGATTTTTAGTTAGTCATTTTTGCATAGCGAATAGCGTTCTATTCTGACAATATTATATCATAATTATAAAAAACTTTTTCTTGAGTAAGCCTCGTAATTATCATACTTATCATATTTTATAGAATATAAAAGATGATAACATGTTACACATCATATAAAACTTCAAGTGCCTAACTTGATATAGTCTGAGATCAAACACCGAATGAGTAAGAACATAATGTGACAATTCATTTATGTTATTTAAGGGTACCTAGTCATGAGTCTTCGACGGTATAATTTTAAAAAACTGGAAACTAAAACGTGTAGATGAGAAACAGTGTTAATGTTAATGTCTAATTTGTTTGATATTTTAGACATTGTAGATGTTTGAAAGTTTTGTTTTGGACTAAAGCCAGGAAAAATAAAAATAACTTGGAGTAAATTCGGAATTTCCAAACTGCCCAAGTTCCATTTTTATTTACCTACGCAACCTGCCATGCGCCACCTAGTTTCAAAAACTAGAAAATGAAATAACAATGGAGCTAAGGAGACACAAACTCATACGACACCCAGACATTCACTGAACAAGAGAATTAAAAAAAATTAGGACAAGTCCTGGACCCGTAGACTCAAAAATTTCAAACTAAAAAAACTATAATTAAAAAAACCTTGGCTATTCCCAAACGGCAACCGAAGGCAGGAAGTCCCAGATGTTACTCTATACCAGAAGGTAGAACCCAAAGGTAGAACTGGATGGTAAAACCCTCAAACAATGATTGTTCATAAAAATGGGGAACTGCTCCTCCCCAAGCGTGAGTCGCCTCGGACTATCCCTGCAGGCGGTTCCCCTCAGCTCGATGGTTGAGTGTAGTTATCCGCACGATTAAATCCCCAAGAGGGTGAGGTGAGAAAACGGCTCTGACAAAAAAACACCAAGAGGGCCGATTTCTGATAAAAAACAACCCCACCACCCTATAAATCCGCAACTGAGCGGGTGAACTATGCAGAATCGGGCAGTGGGCCGCAGAAAATTCCTACACCAGAGTACCGAAAATTGCACCAAATCGCCTTCACCTCTCGTATTTACGGTCGACAGAAATTATAAAGAATGACCTCCAACGAGACGCTAGCATAGTATCTATTGCTTTTTTACTTGAGTAAAAATCAAAATATGTCGAATATTCTGGTATGTATTAACAGGGTGTGCAAGTATGTAAAATAAATGCATGAATATGTATCTTCACAATGAACGCATCCGCAAGCGTCATGATTTCATGCCTGTTGGATTTAAACGCAAGTTCAACCCATCTACTAAACATGAGTCATTGTTAAGCCACCTTTCGTCTTCCGTAACAAATTCCATAGTTTAACGCCCTCGTAAGTAGAACTTTTTGAAATACCCTCGTTCATCGGCGCTTGAGCAACCAGGTTATCAGACGCCTTCGTGGCGTAGTTAGTTGAAACGGTGTTTTTGCTACAAAATGATAAATAAACGGGTAGTCTGACTGGCGGCCATTTATGTAGTACTTTACGAAATCAGTATTACATACAGTATCTATGGATGTAATTAGATTTTCAATTTTCTTACATATGGAAAACATTTCGCGGTGAAAATACCTAAAATTGTAGTGTATGTTGTTCTCCATAATATTCTCAGAAAGGTAGGTTTTAATGCCAACGGCTGCTGAGTTATAGTGTAACTCGAAAATCGTTCATTTTAGGATCAGGATTAGACTTTTGATATAGAAAACAGCATACAACATGGTTGAATGGAAGAGCGGCACGGGTATGAAAAGTGCAGGTTATTTTAGAAGGTGTTAACTTATCTCTTAGTTGTACTTGTCGCCTAAACGTCATGAGGCTTATTATCAATCATTGGCTTTGATGTGATGTAAAATCTGCTTCTGAGATGACATTACTGGAGGTCTAAGCTGTAAGTTGTATGATGTGTTGATGATAATTACATTGGGTTCTTGTCTCAAATACACTTAATTGAGATTCAAAGCGAGAAATTAGTTGCGCATCCACTTCTTCTTATCCATTCTGGAAATTACATATACAAATTTCCTGAATTTCAAAAATGAGAGAGATAAGAAATAATTATATTCACTGTACCCTGTCGAATTACAAGCCATATACATGCTAACAGTAGTTTCCCGTAATTCTCCTCAGTTTTTCGTAATTTATAACTTCAAACATAACCTCTCTTCAGAAAGCACAACATATAAATAACCCGTCATATTCGGCATATTCAGTAATGATTTTCTCACACAGCAAATATCACTGATTTTATACACATGCAGACCAATACACACAGTCATCCAGATGCGATCTTGCTATCCAACCAACATTCTTCTGAGAGATAAAATCTACAGACCCGGATCACTCAGCCTCACAGAACTATGCAACCAATAATGCGTAGATTAGTTGAGTGATTCCTCCATAGATGGACGTTCACAACGATCCTAGTGAGCCGTGCGGATCTTTCTATACGGTCGTAAGATCCGAACTCTGCCGTTTGTCAGGAAAGCAGCTAGGATTTGTTGAAGTTCTATGTATTTTTTTGTGTGCTTATCTTGGCAATAAAAACCATTTATTATTATTATTATTATTATTATTTTTATACTAAAATTTCAGCCAATTGTCCGGGAGCCATTTGCCATAAGGAATATGTCGTATCCATCGATCCCGGAACATTTTGACCTGGTCATGTTTTGATAAAAGTCGTGGTATCATATTATGCATGTATGTTATCTCAACTACCTGTTGTTTGGTGACGTTACCGAGAAGCTAAAAATAAGGCGACTACGATTTTACAGCCTAAATATAAATACCCGTCTTTTGTTAACAAGAATAATTGTATTGACACATGTTCTGTACACACAGAGCTTTTACCATTTGTACCAAATCCTCTTTATCTAATCTTTTTTAGCGCAAAATGTGTCACATGCTCGAATCCAACGTATATAGGTACACAATATCACACCGACAAAAAATTTCTTTTTATGAACACCTCACAACATCGAATCAGATTTATCAAAGATGACGGAGCAATGGGAAGAAATTTTGCTTCTTTTCGCTGTTTCCACAATCATGGTTATCATCCTGTTGCTGTTAAAGTATATTCAGTACCAAAGGGAACAAGTGAAGGCCATAGAGGTTACTATCAGACAAGGTAGGATTTTTACTCATTCATCCAAGGTTTGAAACTCTACAAACGCAATATGCTTTCTAAAATGCTTATAGTTTTTAATGTTTATTTCACTCTAGATCAGATTTTGTTCACATCGACGGTACCTATTTTATTTGAAAGTATACATACAAGAATGGCATTGGCTTTTATTAGCTTATTTACAACTTCACAAAGCTGTCAGTGACAAACTCTCCATCAAAAGTGCTGCATATATATTTTTGTGGGCTACATAATATCTATCAATTGCATTCAATGATATTAAAAGCACCAAACTAGAGCATTGCCGAACACCCATAGAATTATTCCTACAAGATTAAGAGTGATTTTATTATTATTTTCGTCAAATATTTGTTTATTTATTTAAACTCTTACAAACACATCTGTATTTAGTTACATGTAGGAGTGCTTACTGACTAGAAGAGAAACAGAGTATACACAAAAACTACGAAATAACGACAAAGAAAAACTATAAAAATCAACAAACAAATAAAATGAGATAAGGATGTTTTACTTAAATATAAAATCAGTCTTAATTTGTCTCACAGTATTCCAAAGGAGATCCACATCACAATTTTGTATATAACTATTACACTCATAGATCATTCAATTGATAGAAGAACAACTTACAGGTGAACAATGAAAAAGTTTGTTGAATCTTATTCTCAAGTTGATTCTAGGAATAGCAAAGAATATAGTATTTATTACTAAACACTTCTAATATTTTAAATTATTAATTATGTAGTAAATGAACAAGATATCATTCAAACCACGCCTAACGCTCAACCGCACAATTTTAAATTCTGTTAGCATACTATTATGAGAGATCATGTATGGATAAGCATTGTGTGTCCTTAAGTACAGATATCTTAAAAATCTTTTTTGTACCTTTTCGATCATATCAACATGCACCATTGTTTTGGGTGCAGACATACTCCAAAAGAGGTCGGACCAGTGAGTTGTACAAAATTATTATAGACTTTGTTTCCTTAAAGTGCTCTGTATTCCTTATCACAAAACCCAGGATCCTATATGCTTTGTTTATAATAGTTTCATAATGCTGATTAAATGTTAAGTTAGTCTGAAAACAGACCCTAAGATCCTTACATTAACTTTTCCTACTTAACAATAAGTTATCAATTTTTGTGTAAAAGTTAAACTATGACATTTGGCAATATTCAACGACATTTTATTCTCCTTGAACCACTGGGACACGGAACTTAAATTAGTTATATGCTTGTATATTTTAAAATCATCAGCAAATATGAGACATTTGGCATATTTTACACAGTTTGGTAAATCATTCAGAAAAATTATGAATAATAGAGGCCGAAGATTACTGCCCTGGGGCACCCCAGATGTTATCATGTTCATCTTTGATAAATGCTTACCAACTTTAATCTGTTGCGGCCTTAACCCAGATTACCCAACTTGTTCACCCACAGACCATGAGGCATCCCTTTCTACCTTGTAATATCACATCTTATGATGAATCGTACTAACAACGTTGCTGTTCGCGTAGTGTTACAACTCCAACTTATGAACAACAATAATGCAGCACAAGCCTCTTCAACACATCATATATCCTTATTAGGTATATGGAAATCTTAAATCTAACTTCTACTGGTGTCAGTAAAAAATGGAGTATCATCAATGACCCTTTAAATGTTCATGCAGTTGGAACGTTAAAGCTGGCTTCACATGGTAAGTTAAAATCTCCCTCGTAGAGCCCTAAAAGCTAATTAGCTACCGTAAAGCTGACCTGGTTTAGGAATATACGATTTGCATTAGTATCATAAGAGAATGATCAGTTTTTGAGATATTTCCCAAACTCAATGCCATGCCAACCCTGCCTTAACATTCTAACTGCAGAAACATCCTAAGCTTTATTGATGATAAATGAAATATGACATGCCTGGTTTTAAATTCTTTAACTGTTTTTCCGATAGTTTGGCAATGAAAATAGTTTTGGGGATGATCTGAAATTTTTAATTAAAGCTCAATAACTTCACCGTCACTGGATCGATTTTCAAAACCTATAAAGCTTTTTCGTCCATGGTGTGGTTATAACCTTGTGTCAAAAAATATTTCATTACCGTTCAAACAACAGACAGATCGCCAGAAATGATCATAGTTTGTCGTGGCTCCATCAACCATGGATAGCTGTTTCGTGCTTTTTGGCAACTCATCAGCATGATCTGGGCTTGGTAACTTGGACAACGAAGGAAGCTTAGCAACTATCCTCTATTCGAGGAATGAGATCTATCCTAATACGAAGAACTCCGTTGAGCGGAACTACTATACGGGGATGGTCTGGAAAGTTTCCGACCTAACAAAGATTGATTGTTTGTTTTTTTTTATTGTTTCAGATTTATTTAGCATTGATGCTACAATGTCCATAATATCCATATACAGTATATCACAAAATATATTATGTCTTCAAGACTACATATTTTTATACAAAATTTCACTACTATGAATTCTGGTTTTCCATGAGATATTTTTTCAATTTCCCTTTTCAAACTGACACACATCTTGATATCATTACTTAATTTATTAAACTCGTTCACTCCCTTTTGAAATACTGACTTGCTCGTTATATTGCTACTGCAGTTTTGTCCATGAAAGTCTATACTTCCTCTAGTAGAATAATTGTGACACTCATTGTTCAATACAATAAAATTTTCTAAGTGGTTTGGTAGAATATGAAGTAGGCTATGAAATTTTGGATATTTAACCATTGTACTTCTTTCAGCATAAAATTTATTCTAGTATATTTATTTTTATTTAAGATGATTCTCATAGCTATACTTTGTAATATTTGTAATTTTGAAAATACAGTTTCATTTGCAGTGAACAAAATAGTCGAACAATATAACAAATGAGGAAGAATGATAGTAGTGTACCCAATTTTTTTAGAATAAACGCTATGCGAAATTCTATAAAAGCAATTTATTTTCTTGGATATTTTTGAAATAATATATTCATAGTGCCCCTCAAATTTTAATTTACTGTCTACGTATATGCCCAAATATTTAAATGATTCGATTGACACAATTTTTCCATGATTACTTGTAAGATTTATCGTATTTTGATTTAAAGATTTTCCTATTAGCATATATTTTGATTTTTTTGTGTTTAGTTTAAGTTTATTTACATTTAACCAGATTATTACGTTTTTCATATCATAATTTAACAGCTCTATTGCAGTTTCAATGTCTTTATTTGATATATATATTATTGTATCATCAGCAAATAGTTGAATTTTGCAGTGTTTTAAAATATCATGAATATCATTAATATATAAAATAAATAGTAATGGACCTAATTTGATACCCTGTGGCACACCTACCGAAATGTTTTTAATGTTTGATAATGTATTGCCAATTTTAGTTCTTTGACTTCTATTGATTAAATAAGTTTGTAATAAGTTGAATACTGGACCTTGAAATCCATAGCAATGCAATTTCGTTAACAATTTCTCCCTGTCAATAGTCTCAAATGCTCTCTTGAAATCTAAGAACTATGTTACTGTAAACATTTTTTCATCCATATTTCGCCTCCATTCTTCTACTACCATTTGAATTGCTGTTTCAGTAGAATACTTTTTTCTTATTCCTGCTTGAAATTTTGTCAATATCTTATTTTCTTCAATATATTCAATGATTTGTTCGTATATGATTCCTTCTAAGAGCTTCTCGACACAAGATACAAGACATTTTTCTGTTTTTTTTTTTTTAGTTTTCGACACAGTCTCCACACTTCTCCCATAGCACTCGTCGTTTTTCTGTGCAATATAATTGTTTCCGAAGGTGATTGTCTCTTCTTTTGACGCAAATCTCTATCCCCCGAGCGCAATTTTTAAATGAGGGAACAAAAAGAAGTCGCTTGGGGATGGATTTGGTGCGTAAGGCGGATGGTCAGGCAGTTGGTAAATGATGGTCCCCATGCAGAAAATTAAACTCATCTTTCATTTGCGGAGGCGTATTGTCGTTCAAAAACGAATATTTGACAGCTCGATACTCGATTTTGTCCATTTTCACAAAGACACTCATATCCACTCACTCAAACGACTGTTACATAACAACTGCACGACCAAATTTTATTTGCGAAAGCTGCCATCTTCACGTTGAGGTCGGAAACTATTCAAACCACCCTCGTATGAGTATTAAACCACAATGACGGTGTGATAAAGTTCTTTATCATTTCTTCAGAAGTAACTATTACTCAACACACGTCCACATCCTTTGGAATAAAAGATCCACCGCTATAGGAAGGAAGGGTAGCATACCTATTAATATCAAAGCAGGATAACACATGTTGTTGATATTTTACTTCCTATCTGCGGATGACCAGGTAGTGATTGTGACAGCGACGATCTTAGCTATATAGTAAGCAAACTGCAAGAATATGAGGTGGCAGGTCTAAACATAAATATAAAGTGCGAATATCTTTCAGTGGGAACCATCGAAACATGTCACCTAGTCTTGGAAGACGGCAACAGCAAAGGCGTATAATCCTGCAAATATTGGGTGATTTTTTACGACCTTTTTTTTCAAGTTGGTAGCACTGATATGTAATGGCGACCAAGCGTAATCTGACAAACTCAAAATTGTTCAGTAAGCTATGCCATTTCATCATGAAAAGACTTACAAACGAACAACGGTTTCAAATCGTAGAAATTTATTACTAAAATTCGTGCTCTGTGAAAAATGTGTTTCGCCTGTTATGGCCATTTTATGGTCGACATTATCCACCTGATGAAATCACAATTAGAGGTGATATTACCACATTTCGTACCAAATTTACTTTACTAATGGACATTAAACCATCGACTCGCATGCGTACAGTGCGTACCAAGAGAATATTGCATCCGTAGCAACCAGTGTTGATGAAGATCGTGATATATCGATTCGCCGCAGATCTCAACAGTTGGACTGTGTTACTCCACCACCTGGAAAATTTTACGTGTCAGTTGGGGTTTGAAGGCTTACAAAATCCGACTTGTGCAACAATTGAAGCAGAATGATCTACCACAACGTCGAATTCTCAGTGAATGGGCCTTGCAACACCTTGAAGAAGATCCGGTCGAAAAATTGTGTTCAGCGATGAGGCTCACTTCTGGCTAAATCGATTAGTTACGAAGCTCAATTACAGTATCTGGTGTGATGAGCAGCCACATGCTATACAAGAATTGCCCATGCATCCAGAAAATACAACAGTTTGGTGTGGTTTATTGGCTGGTGGAATTATCGGGCCGTTTTTCTTTACAGACGACTTCGAAAGAAACGTTACCGTTAACGGCGAACGATATCGATCCATGATCCGTAACTTTTTATTGTCCAAATTAGAAGATCTGAACTTGGTTGACATGTGGTTTCAACAAAACGGCGCAATATGCAACACAGCAAGTGAAACAATGGACATTTTAAGGAATGAATTTGATGAGAAATTTATCTCTCGTTTTGGCCCTGTAAATTGGCCACCAAAATCTTGTGACTTGACCCCTCTGGACTATTTTTTATAGGGCTACGTGAAATCGTTGGTGTGGATGGACAAATTCAACACTATTGAGGTCTTACAAGACAACATAACACGTTATTGGTTTCAGGCCGAAATGCTAGAAAAAGTAGTGAAAAATTGGACCTTCCGTAGCCGTGATCAATATTTACATGAAGTAGTCTTTAAAAAGTGAATGGCAAGAACCACTTTATCGATTGCATTAAAGATTTTGAATATATAATGCATTTTTAGCTGTTTTATTCAACTTTTAAAAAAATGCTCTTAAAAAATCATCCTATATTTAGGGATCATTTTCAATAAGAAGGTAAATAGCGAAGATGAAATCAGGGAAAGAATATACAAAGGCAGAGCAGTGACCCGTGCCTTGAACTCTCGTCTCTGGCAAAAACAATCCAAAGCATTACACTGTACGGTTCAGAAGATGGGATGTCACCATAGCTAATAGAAACAAACGTATGACTACAGAAATAAATTATTTGAGACGAGCTGCGGTAGATCGAAACTGGAGAGAGTCAGAAACGAAATAAAAATGGAACGAAATATCAGTGAGAACATAGAAAGAAAGTATTTGACCTGTTTCGGGCATATAAAAAGAATGCCGGGGGACAGATGGCTTAGAAGAGTACTGGAGTGGATTCCTCCTAAGAGAAGAAAGAGAGAACCACCACGCAGAAGTTGGCGTAATGAAGCAATGGCGGCAAAAAACTTAGGAGAGGCAACTGCATGTGACAGAAAAAGATGAGGACGGAGAGGCGACGATAGCCGTAGTCAATCCGTTATATATTATACCTCCTATCTGAGTTGGGCTCCATTACCGTGCTTCAACCCCTACAGTAAAACAGCCCTCTATGAGGGAAAAGAAAAATTTACTACTACCACTGAGCTGTATGAAATTCGTTTTTAATGAAATTCACCAGATGCAACCTGCTTTTATTTTTGATCTCAAACAATAAGCAAAAGATAATGTTTCAAGGCCAGCGCGGCTACTATGGTACAGTAGCGTAAACTGGTAGTACCATCGGTAGGAGTATACACATATTTCCACATTTTCTGTTGAGATTTCTCTGTATATCATCAGATGGGGCAAATTACAATCTATTAACGGAAGTGGTATATTTTTAATAGCTACCAGTTAAGGACTTTGTATACACTGTCCAATTATGCAGTATAGGTCTGCTTTTGGAACCTTTGCTATTATATAGGTGGTATTGACAGATCGGCTGGTAGGGTTTGACAAAACCCTGATAACCAGCAGTCAAGCGCCTATATAATAGTGTTGAATACAATAAAAGCAAAATATTGAAATTTCATAAAATTACGTTACTAACTAAAAGAATCATCTAGTAGCTGTATAAAATTCGTATTTGAGGACATTCGCCTAATTCAACCTGCTTTTATTTAAACAAATTAAAGAAGCAGAATCAGTAAAAGTCTACAGATAGTTACACGTTTATTTGTAAGTCGTTTCCCTACTGTCATAGAGATAATTGAATCTGGCGGTCGTTTTTGTTCAACATTCAAACTATCTGTTACCAAAATCGACTACTGCGAGAATATTTCAGCTATAGGGTGGAATTGCAAAGATATCAGTTCGCGTTTAATACTGTCGAGAAGTGTGAGATTCTCCATTAATGCGACATACTGACTAAAACCCCTCAGTCATACGCTACACATCCCGCCACGGTAATGCTTGCAGCACACTTTTGTATATGTGTATAATATATACAACCCACCAAACGTATCGTTGGTTGCTTGGTCTGTTGATATCGTATCAGCATCATTCGCCTCATGGATAGCAGCTTATTTGCTCTGGCTGACAAGCCTGGCAAAATGGTCAGCAGTAAGCCTCTCACCGAGTGTCAATTCTTGTTACGTCTGGTAGTCAACCCATCTACCACATTTGAGTAAATAATTAGAAGTATCATCCCCTTCGTTTGGCATTTCTGTATACATAAAATGTCTGTAATTTTAAGAAGAGATATTGAATACACTGGCAATTCGTTCTGGGCATCTGTGTCTAGCCTGTAACCATCAACGTGCCTCTGGCCGTCTTGAAAAGTGTAGATTCCACATTTCATATTGATCATAATCATTCATCATTAACTTCTCAGTTTCAGTATTATTTCACTCCCTATGCCATTCAGTTTCAGTTACATAGCTGTCACAACAACCTTTCCGGCACGGGTATTGAAACGTGACATTATGTCGATTTTTTTGACATTGTATTGGTACGGATTAATTTTGAAGTGAACTAGACAAATTTTTGATTCGGTTTTGCTAGAGTGTAAATTTTGAGTTTACTAAAAGTTCGCGCTAACTTTTGATTACAGTGCGAGCCGTGGCCTTGAATGTTTACGAACTTGCTCCACTGTGTAGTCCACGGAGTCACGCAACAGAGGGTTGCTGTGCGATTCCGCTTGACTATAACGTAGCTGCGCCTGAAGCTTGACATACTCCCTCAAGGAAGGAATGTCAAAGTATCTGTGTAGAGTGTCATTTTAGACATACCATGGAGCATTGCAAATTGTCCGCAAAGTTCTGCTTTGCAGTACTTGAAGACTGCATGTGTGTCTTGGCAAGAAAACACCAAGCCGCACATGCATAAGTAATGGCTGGTCTAATAATCATTTTATATAGTCGAACTTTGTTTATGAAACTCAATTTGGAGGATCTACATAACAAATGATATAGTTGCCGAAACGCAATTTGGAATTTTGTTTTTATGGATGCTGTATGTTTCTGCCAGGTCATGCCTTTATCAAGGGTGACACCGAGATACTTGGCAGAATTTGTCCATGGTACACGATTTCCGTCTATAGAAACCTCTGCTGGGGGGCCGCGACGTTTTTTGGTATAATAGATAGCTTGCGTTTTCGAATGATTAATTTTTATCAGCCACCGTTCCGCCCACTCTAGAACTTCATCCACTGCATTCTGCAACCCATCGTGAACCAGATCACCAGTACACGACGGGGCGACAAGTGCAGTGTCGTCAGCATGGAGGTAGGCTTCACAGTTGCTGGGGCTAGGGACATCATGGCTGAAAAGCGAATAAAGAATTGGTCCTAGGACCGAACCCTTAGGAACACCGGCCGTTACTGGCCGTGTTGTTGACAAAACATTGTTAATTTTGATCCGAAACTTCCTTCCTTCAAGAAAGGATTTCAGTAATTTTAGAAGCCAAAATGGAAAACCCTTTTGAGACATCCAAAAGCAAGATGGCCGTCATCATGATGAGGGTGAATCCTCTGGTTACATGCTCCACCAGCCTGACTGCCTGTGGCTTGGTGCAGTGCTCGGACCGAAAACCGAATTGGACGTCAGGAATCACATGGTGATTTGACGAAAAATTCTCAAGGTGACGATAAATCACCTTTTCGGTGAGCTTAGGAGCTGACAGAAACTTATGGGACGGTAATCCTGAAATATCGAATCGACCTTCTTTGGAATCATGATGACCTCAGTCTTCCACCCAGCAGAGAAGTACTGGATTCTGAGCGTCGCATTGATTATTGTCACCAAATATGTCAGGGCTTTCGGCGAGAGGAGCTTCAACGCCTTAATGGTGATTTGATCCTCCCCAGGTGCTTTTCGCACCTTGAGGTCATTAATATGACTTAGGAACTCCGCTGGTGTGCAATGTGGAGGAGACTCGGAGGGTTCGGCTAATGTGCTATGTGAAGAAGAGTCATCTGAAGAGGATTCAGTGCCTCCGCTAACGCCGTTGACCTTAAAATATCTCCTGACGGATCGTACGATGTGCTGTTCCTCGTCGAGTTCATTATCGAGATCATAGTTGGGAGAGAACTGTTTAGATCATAGTTGGGAGAGAACTGTTTTTCCATGGCATCAGCGAAAACCTCGACCTTATCCTCCGTTCTGAAGACTATGCCTTCAGGACCGTGGATGTGTGGTAGTTGTTCCCGCTTTCCGTTTCTGAGTGACTTTGCGACCCTCCAGAGAGGAATACTAGAATCAAGCATTCCCGCCAGAAAGTCGCTCTATTGCTCGTTGCGGAGTTTGTGCAGTGCGTTTCTCAGTTCATGGACAATATTTGTAGCCCTACGAATGTCATCAGGATGACAGGACCTTTTTGCCTGCTTAATAGCGGCTCTTTTGTCAGAGATTTTCTGACTAATGTTCGCAGGCAAAAAAGGTCTGCCGTGTCGTTGTACAGGAAGTACAGCTGCACGCTGTAGAGCTGCTTGAATGAAACTTGTCCACTCTGCTTGAGCGGCATCTATTCCAGACTCATCATCTATAATCGGGATATTGGGAAACTCTCTAAGGAGCAACTTGTATAGGTCCCAATCAATACGTTTCCTTGGAGGAGCTGCCTCCTCAGAAGTTTGCTCATTGCGCACATACAAGACAACAGGTAGATGGCCACTAGAGATATCATACAAGATTCGAGAAGAGATACTGTATCTACAGTTTTTAGATATCGCGAAGTCGATGACATCTGGTGCCTGAAGATGGTTGAATGGATGGTGTGTTGGCTCTTCAGTGCTATGTATAAGGTACCCATTTCGCATCACATGGTTGTACAATTGAATCCCACTAGTGGAATTCAACCTAGAATTCCATGCTCGACGTTTGCAGTTGAAGTCCCCTGCCACAATAAGCGGACCCGAGTAGTCCAAAAAGACCTCCAGATCCGCCTCTTGCAGCCTGGCACTACACCTGACATACACCGATGTGATCTTCAACGAGACACCTCCCGCCATATTGACCACCACAGAAGCTGCTTCGATGCTATACATCTCCGCATTAGTGCTTCTATAATAGTCTATACCGCGCTTAATCAACACTGCTAAACCGCCACCTCGGTCATTCAATATGTCACCTCGGATAACATCAGAGAGCTAAACGATCTCCCGGATTAAGCAACGTTTTCTGCAGCAAGGCCACATCTATACCTTCATGCAAAAGAGTTTGATGGAACTCCCGTTTTATGGGAATATCCCTCATGCCCAAACAAGTCCAAAAAAGAATTTTGATGAATGCAGGCTGTCTACTATTGTACCCAGACATTTACAGGAAATATCGCCTGCAACGCTTGGGTAGCGCTAGTCAGTGGGCTTATTATTTGTTGTAAGGACCTTAGCGCGGTTGCCAGGTCCACATGTTGAGTGCTCAAGGGAGGTTGGGCAGAGGGGGCAGGCAAGGTTGCCTCCCTAGCTGCGACCGCGTATGATAGATTGCGCCTTTGCGCTATAACTTGCAAGTTGCTCCTTGGAGTGAACTTGCAAGTCCGGCTATTTGCGGGATGTCCCTCTCCACAGTTCGCGCTTTTGCGCTCTTCCTCTTCTGTGAGGGGGCACAAATGCGCCATGTGGTCATTTGCACATTTTAAGCATTTGGGCGGTGCAGTGCAATATGACTGCACAAGCCCATACTTTTAGCAGCGGTGACACTGTCCAATGAGTCTGAAGTTGTTCTGAACCTCAACTCGAATGGCCAGCCCCAGCAGTTCGTGTTCGTTGAACACTTGCTGAGACTTTTCAGTCTTGGGCAGTATCACGACCACCAAGGGCATGGGCGCGCCGCCGCTGCGCTTCAATCGAATGATGCTCAAGTTCTCCCTTAATTTCAGTATCCGAAAAATTAACGGGAACTCCTCGAACCACCGCTTGGATGTTCCGTTCTGAAGGGAGAGGAACAGTGTGATGGGGCACTTCTTCCTCTCAGAACAGGCGAACGATCTTACCGTAGTCGTCTTCGGATTTAGGAATAATCCTTATTCTCGCATCGACGGCAACCGCGCGATCTGTTTTAATACCTAGAGAAATAAACTTGAAATTTAAAGTACGCCATCTCGTCTCGTCGCGTTAGATGATCGGGGTTATGCGCCCTTGTCGTGAAGGTTGTGTTGATGCCACGACGGTTGGACGAGATGACGAAGGAGAAGTAACATCGGCTGACGGAGTCACCTGGCAGGTAGATAACGTGGTCCCTGGCTTGGTAGTAGAGGCATTAATGTTTTTTCGATTTGGTGAATCTGGGGAAGTGTGAAATGGAATTGATCCTGTATTCGGAAGAGGAGGAAAGTCTTGGGTTGATCGATCAGCTTTGTCGCCTTTCCTCCTTCTTGATTTTGCTTTTACAAATCCTTCGGTCTGTACGTCTTCGTCTGTGGTTGTGAGATGATCATCAGTAACGTTTCTCAGTGGTCTTTTTAGGGTGTCTGTCCGTTCTTTAGTGGATTCCTTTGAATTTACTAATATTGTTACCTGGGCGGTCAGGCTGTCAATTTTGGCTGTCTGGTCCTTGATGGTCTCCATTAGGTCTCGAATCTGCCTCGCCTGGCCGTCTATAATCAGCATCAGTTTTTCGATCGTTTTCTGCTCCGATGACATCTGCGTCAGTGGGCCCATGTTTTCTGCTTCTGCTTCATTTCCGCCACCGCTCAGCTCTTTCCTCATAATATGTGGAACTGCGTCGTCTGTTGATCCTCCTGGGTCAACTTCCATCTTTTAACAACTTCTTCTCGCCAACAAATCTCAGAAAACTTATAGCTCGCAAATGTGACAATGTTGTCAAAACCCTTCTTACAGGGCGTATTATTGTATTAGCTAGCTGATGGACACGTTGTGAACTCGTTCTGTAGCTGAACGTGATGCTTAAACGTCATGATGCCTCAGTTATCAATGTTTGGCTCCAATGTGATGCAAAATTTTCTTCAGAGATGACATTACTGGAGGTCTAAGCTGTAAGATATGTATACTATAGCTAGAAGGTAACGAGAATGCATAGGTGCATAGTGAGAATGTGTGTGCTAAGAATATGTGTTGAGGATAATTCCATTGGATTCTTGTCTCAAATACACTTACTTGAGATTCAAAGCTAGAAATTGGTTGCGCATCCACTTTTTCTTATCCACTCTGGAAATTACATATGCAAATCTGCTGAATTTCAAAAATGAAAGAAATAAGAAATAATTATATTCACTTTACACAACGGTGGTGATTTAAACAAAAAAAACGTAAAAAATCGTAATTTATAAGTTTGAACATAACCTTCAGAACGGACAACATATAAATAAGCCGTCGGGCACAGCTAATAGATATACTTCATTGGCATCATATTCAGAAATGATTTTCTCACACAGCAAATATCACTGATTTTATACACATGCAGACCAATCACATAATCATCCAGATGCGATCTTGCTATTCAACCAACTTTTTTCTCAGAGATGAAAACTGCAGACTACTCGGCTCCACAAAACATATGCAACCAACAATGCGGGTAGTGGTGCAGTTGAGTCGTTCCTCCATAGATGGACGCTCACAACGTTCCCAGTGAGCAAACGTGGAATAACTGTTTGCACCCTAAGAACTACCTAGTCTGCAAGATGACATTTTATAGGTTTTCTGACGTTTTATAGGCTTTTTACATAATTCCCGTGCCGGTGAGAAACTAGGCTTCTAGTCCAAACACCAAGGCCAGTTGCATCCCATTTCTCCTGCCATCTAACAAAAAGCGCATTTCTTTCATCGTCTGCAGATTCGGCGTCCTTTTTATTGATTCACAGTTGTGTGTGTGTGCGATGTCAGATTTTGCTCCCGCTAGGCGCGCTAATGTGGTTGGGGTTCAAGCTATCAAACACTAAGCCTATATGCCGGGAGAACCGGCGAAGGGAAAAAAATCGACCCCAAAACTTGACGACTGATTATAGTTTCAGTTCACGTCACATAGCGCAGAGATTGCACATGTACCAGGTATTGCGCATGCGTCTGGTATCTGAAATTATGAAATATTTAAATTTCAAGCTATCAGTTTGTGCTTATTCATCACGCGCCTTGAGCATGCGCGATAGCTGATACACATGCGATGGAAGCGCCGCGGTGGCTCACAACCGAAGCTACATCGAGCGTTGATTTTGGGGGTCATTTTTACATATTTTACAGCACGAACAGCATCGTCGGTTCTCCTGGTATATAGATTCCATGCTATCTAATGTAGACATCAAAAAGACCGATAGAATGGTGATGGAAAAATTACAGATTTGACAGTCAGACGTTAACACGTTCAGTGCTAATACAATGTCGACAAACTTCACGGACGGACGGTACATTTTTTTTGGAAATAATACCGTCAAAATATTGCTAGTTTAATTAAAATACAATAAACACCTCCCATTAGGTATTTTTTCTGTGATGCACTGGTGCGTCATGCGCACCTCAAACACAACTTCGGTCCCGTGCGCGCATGACGCACTGGTCTGTCATAAAATGCCATAAAATATTTTATTGATATATTGCAAAACCAAGGCCAACGCACCGGTGCGTCACAGAAAAAAATACCTGAGCGGAGGTGTTTATTGTATTTTAATTAAACTAGCAATATTTTGACGTTGTTATTTCCAAATAAATGCACCGTCCGTCCCGATTTATTATTGCCAGCGTTGCAGACTAACACAAAAATGTCACTTGCTGATCAGCTGTTTACCTCAGAAGACGTCAAAGCGTGATGCATACTCGTGAAATAGGGTATAAACAGCTTATCATCAATTGACATGTTTGTCTGTTCATAACCTTAAATGTGACCTCCAACCTAACTAGCGTCATCTACATCTAGCTCTCATTAATCTATGAAGTCTGAACCCATGGTTATCCTCTTGCTGGCTAAGCAATTATAATAATACCTATCCACGGTGACTATCTACCTATTTCTGCAACCATTCATGCACTATATTTTGACAAGTGTTTTGAACACTTCGTAATTCGCGCTAATACTTCTATAAATAATCGAAAAAGTCCTTGGTAATCACATGGTGCATTTATCTCAAAAGCAAATGTTTTCGGCACAATCTGATATGAAATAGGGATTATGATAGAGCAATCCTTTTATAAACTCCGCGGTTTGGTATCTCTTATCTAATCTCTGCTTGTTGCTACTTGGAGATGAACTCTCTAGAAGGTGTTCAGCCTCGATTAAGAGCGATGTAGTGTGCGAGACGGAAGAAAAGAAGTTCAAGATGTTGGACGAACGGGACGAAGTAGGCCTGATTATGTTTTTCTTCGTTATTTTGATACTGTTCCTTGTGATTCGAATTTTCTTGTATTGCAAAGGCCAGAAGAGTCGACAGATTGAAACATGTGAGTTTTTACCAGTTCTTACTAAATTTTTCTTGCAGATTCTTGCATTTTAAGATGCCTCTCTTGCTTGTGTTGCAAAGTAGTTTCAGTTAGATAATTGATTAATATATTATCCGAGATACCCAGCCCTATCCCGTATTTGCACGTTCACATACAATTTCCATCATAACGGTGAGGTAGTCATTTACGATCGCAATAGTTTGCTTAGAAGTCATGAAAGCAGACTCCGTTTCCCTTTTAAAGCGAACTGTTCATTCTTAAAAATGATATCAATCTTCGAAGAAAAGATCATCCTTCAACTTTTCTTGATGATTGTGATAATTGTAAGCGTAAACGGTTGGCAGGATCATAGTACTCGTACGTATGCTTACTAGGTATCTTCTGGTGGGATATTTTAATCACTAGGTACATTAATGATAATATAAACAATGACTATAAGCTTGACACTGCTGAATCGCTTTGTAGGTGCAAGGGTTTTCTACAACTTTGTGGTTCACCTTCTTCTCAAAACCTGAAACATCCTACTCATAAATCGGGCAAAATATTGACCAAATTCTGAAACTGCCCCAAAAGCGCTTTCCTTTTCAATTTTACTTCACTTCTCTCGTGAAATTGACAGAACTTATAGCGCACGCGTTATTCCAAGATAAAGGAAGGTTGCGATTAAAGTAAATGCGAAAGGTAAACGCAAGAGCGTGAACATACCTTCAATGTAGTCAAAATTTTATCATAAAAACAAGTGACAGATTTGTAACCTGTTCGGAGATAACAGAAACCAAATAATTAAATACTTAAAACATTGTTCACTCCACTCCATGGAATATTACAATTAAATTTTCCATTTGCCTATATTTAATCTGACATCAACAACTTTAAATTGGTTTAGTTATCATTACATTTACATACTTTTACAAATGGCTTATTTTAACTAATAATACTAGATTGAAGATCTTAAATTCTATACGATCGTGGTGGATTTTAGAAGTAGGAACTCGGTTCTACAGTTTGTGGTTGATAGCATTTTGCATGCAGGCACGGGAGTGTCAAATCAATCTGTAAAGCGATCTAGGTAAAACGAGGCTGCAAGCGACTCCTATGTCGAAAGGCCTGAAGGTTATCACTGCACTCGGTTCAATGTTCCTGGGGTACCCTAATAAAAAAGACGAGGATGTTCAACTATTTAAGGTACCTACAAGTGTAAGTATCTTGAAGTTGCAGCCACATAACAAAGAATATTTTCCAAAGGACTTGAAGTTTTTTCTTAATTTCCATCCAACCCATCAGCACTGCTGTCCTGTATCTCCCGGATAGGCAACTTAAATCACGGTCTTGTGGAGGTCAGGTTTCAGTCAGAACTTTTTCTCCTCCTGTCCTTGAAGAGATGTTTGTTTCGCTGATCTGGATGCGTCGGCTGTCTGTTTGTCAATAATAGAAATTATCCATGTTGGGATGGAGGAATACATGCCTCACACAGTGAAAGTGCCTAAACTGGGGTTCAACATCCTAGAATCTTCTGACAAAATCCCACTGTAGAGTAGGTACAGACAAGCTGACGTTGAACCATAGCTTAAGTAAAAATGTTTATAATGATTAGAAAACTAAAACAGTACATCCACAATGTCTTATTTTTATTTTGATTTAAGGGTAAATGTCGTTTTCAGAATATACTTCTGCTTTTTGCTCGATTACCTGAGACAACTAAAATTGCTATACTTCGTTATCGTTTCATTGCATCATTCTTTTGACGTTTCGGTAAATGTCGTTTTCAGAATATACTTCTGCTTTTTGCTCGATTACCTGAAACAACTAAAATTGCTATAATTCGTTATCGTTTCAGTGCATCGGCTTAAAGAAAGAATATTAAGGGCTTGGGGATATATATTCCGAGAACTTTAGCTTCTCGAAATGACCTGATGAAGAAATTCTTTACATATTGATACATCATTATGGAACACCCTGTATACAGAGTGCTCTTCAATGATAGTACATTATTACAAGGGCACATTCCTGATTCCAAATCAAGTAGAAGAGTTCATATAAATAAGCATGTGTCCTAAAAAGTCTGGCTTCCAAGATGGATTCCAGTATCAAAAAAATGTTTAATGTTTTTCGGCAGTGGGGAAATAAGAGTAGCAAACTGTCACGGAAAGTCAATCAATATAACAACAAAACAGCATTTCCAAGCAACCTGAGTTGACTTGATCTAATTTTAATAATTTTTCGACATGTAATGATGTTTTTATTTTTTTGTCTAAAAAAGAAGCATCATTGGCTGCTTAATCCGAAAGAGTATATAGTTTTCTAAAAAGTCACTGGCGTACATTGTTGTTCCCCCGAGAAGCCACTGGAAATCATAATTAACTT